CTCTGGACGAGCCCCACTGTTGTGGTAAATTACTCCGCGTAAACCCAATCATCAAAATGAGCATCTGGGATGAATGACAGCATGCAACAGATACGATAAACAGCAATTTGGTTAACAAATACCCAACCTATCCTTCTCTTCCCCTCGTAACCCGTAGCAAATCCCCACTGAGCCGATCATGATCAGTTAAGGCTGCTTAAGCCTGCTGCTCCAGCAGCGGCGGTGATAATAGACAGGATTAGGATTGATTACACAGCCACAGAGCTTCACTCCAACAGAGCAGTGGGCACTGTTCCCACTAGCACCAGCTCCACTGCAGGCCTGGCATCCAGCTCGCTCTGCTGCATGACAACCACTGATAAACACTGTATTAGCCATCAGCTGCTGAGGAATCGCTGTTATGACTTCAGACAAACATGACTGGAAAGTACTGATGCTTTCATAATCAGTCAAATCAGTCAATCAGTCAAATGAGCATGCTGGCATTACACTCTGAAAAATAAAGATGCCAAATAAGGTTCTTTGGAACGATGCGACAAAAGAGCCACTTTGTGTTACTTTGAGTGGCATCAACTTCATTTTTTTCAAAGAACCATTCATTGAATAGTTCTTTAGTATGGATGCACCCATATTTCGGTCACTGAAACATTTTGTCTGAAAAATTTGGTTTTCAATCCTAGAGAAAAAAGGATGACAATTTTGTCTGTAAAACAAAAGATAAAAAAAGACTACAAAGATAAATCAAACTCCTAGCACTTAATAAAGCATTTGAATGTAATGAAAATGATACAGTGATGAAAATTAGCTTTTTCTTTCATGTGCAAGTCTATAATCATGTTGTTGCACAACTTACTAACTACATTAGAGCTGGGGAGGCAGGAGGAGTGCTGGAATGGGTCACTGATTGGTGCTGATCATTTGCAAACTTTGGTGTTCAAACAACACAATTCCAAAAAACGTGTCCAGTGTGAAACGGAATTAAAGGCAGTCATGCTCACGTGAAGAATGCGACAGCAGCTTTAATGCTTCACTAGGCCATGCATCTGTCAAGTTTATTTGATTGCTTTAATACCTTTACGATTTTTATTGGCCACCATCATGTGTCCACTCTACAACAGCACAACAGTACTGGCTTTAAATAGCTGCTGCCTTTTTAGCCCCTTTAGGAAGTGCATTAGCAGGCAATCTCCAAGACACAAATTAAGCTGAATACTTTTCTAGAAGATGACCTCTGAATTGGAATTGCAATAAACACTATCATTGGAAACACACTAGTATGTGTTCTTGGATTAGGTGCAATTATATTAAATTACAGAATTATGTAGGCCCTCAGGGACCCCAGCACAGACGTTAGACTAACCGCTCTCATTTAAAAACTGCCAGTCAGCAAGATTTCATTTGCTAGGGGATGATTGAATAAACAAAAATCATGTTAGTACTTCATTAGTTTATTGGAGAGGATGGCAAGTGGGCGCTAAGGGGCATTTTACAGGTTATTGAGGTAAACAGTATTAGAATTGAGTTTTAATAGTGGTTAAAGTGCACATAAGTGAAATGGGCTAATTCTGATTATAGCACTAAAACATTTACATGTCCAGAGATTTTTTGACCGTCTGTTAAACCTTTTTAAGGTTCAGCTAGCATGTTTTAGAAATACAATCTGTTGTAGAGATGGTATTAGGGATGGGTATTGAGAACCGATGCTTAATTGGTACTGGTTCCTGACTGATCAGTACTGAAATATTGATGAGCTCCTGGACAAAAGTGCTGCTATCGCTATTTATGTATTGTTAATTCATTCTACATAGCAGGCATTTTCAGATGGCTGGTGCTAGACTGAATCAGAGGAAGAAGAGCTCTGCTACTTGTGACAACAGCGTTCACATGCCTCTGACTACCTTAACTATTTTGAATGCCAAGTGTCATTTTGTGCTCTCTGGTCATGGCTGAAAGGATAAGCTGTTCAAAGCTGTGGGCTCACTTTACTAAATTTAATGATAATGCAGCTAAATGCAATATATTTAAGGTAGTAGTTGTGGGTAAACAATCTCACGAAACACTTACAAATACAACATTCTACAAATCTGAAGCAGTGCAGCGTGTTTGCTTTGGCAAAGCAGCTGCTGCACCTGCGTCTACAGTGCAGCCTCCTGCTGTTGTGACAAATTGGGCTGCCTTGTCGAAATGTCTTACTGTAGTGCATATTTATAGGTAGTACATGAATCTCTAGGTAGGATATTTTGATAGCTTAAATCACCGAATCAAAAATGCTACCAGCATTAAAACTATGAAGCTGAAGTCAGCTTCTTATTTGCCAGCTTCTTGTTCCAGTTTTGCTGTTCCACCTTAAATGGTGCAGCAGTTACGTGCTGGCACTTTAGGCGTTATAATAACTGCTGCACCGTTTAAGGTGGAATGGGAATGAGAAGCTGGCAGATAGGGAGCCAACTTTGGCCTCCTGTTAAAACTACAGGTAGGATAGGTAGATAGTCTTATCAGAAAATGTATATTTACAAGTGTATATTTCGATAGCCTAAAACAGCTTATCGGGGGGAAGTAGTAATATCAAGTTAATTCTGTACTGAATTAAAATTTAGTAGCTAGCATTGCATAAATCGCTAACTGCTAGGTAGCCTTTGTTTGAACTTAGTGTGAGCTGTCCTGACAATCAGGGTAACTAATTTTGTATTGCTTATGGTTGTTAATATTTTCAACTGTAGGGAGATGACCACAGCCTTTTCACATTTGTCATTTTGCAGATTTTACTTTTTTCACATCTTTTCATGTCATGGTTTGCTTTTTGCACCAGATCATGGAGAGTGGTATCAAAAAGAGTGTCAATATCAATAAGCAGTATTGGTATCCATAGCGGTATCAATAAAATCCTAACAACACCCATTCCTAGATGGTAATAAACACAGGACATATGTTATACAGTGCTTTGCAAAAGTATTCAACCCCCCTTAAGTCATCAGATTCATCTGACACTTTGGTATTTTGTGCTGTTATATTTTACTTTAAAAGACTCACCATGAAATGAATTCATTTAAAGTAATATTGATGTTATATAAGAAAATATTCTGTAACAAAAATTACTAACTGAAAAATGCTGTCTGCATAAGCATCCTCTGTGCTGTGGAAGCTCCACGTTTACACAGATGAAACATAACTGCCCTAACAAGGAGACAATTGGTTTACAACTGGCATCTGCTTATGAATTATTGAAATATTTCACCTTTAAAGGACTCCCTTAATTCAAGTACTATTGATCTAACTGTCAATGTGAAGGAAAGCTGTGAAAATAAAGACCAAAGAGCATTCTAAGGAAATTAGCGATAAAGTGCTTGGATGAGCACTGTTGGATGAATTGTGAGGAAATGGAAGCTGCATCCGGCCACCCAGGTACTGCCTAGACAAGGCTAAGCCTCAAAACACGGCATCAGAGCAAGACAGGGATTTGTGAGGGAAGCCACAGAGAGGCCAACAATCACTTTGAAGGAGCTACAGACTGTACTGGCTAAGACTGGAGTGAAGGTGCACCAGTCTACAACGTCAAGAGCCCTGCATACTACTGGCAGGGAGGATAAAAAGAATCCATTACTGAAGAAAAATCATGTCTGGGGTTTCTCTGAAAACGTCAGAATGACCAGCTAAAATGTGGCATAAGGTTTTGTCGTTGGATCAGACAAAAATAGAGCTTTCTGGCCAAAATTCAAAATGCTATGTGTGGCGCAAAACGCTGCCCATTCTTCACAAACACCACCCTAACAGTGAAGTATGGAGGTGGCAGCATCCTGTTGTGGGGGCACTCTTCCTCAGTGGGCACTGGACATCTTGTTAAAATTGAAGGACAGATGGGTGGTGCAAAATACAGGGAGATAATGCAAGACAAGCTGCTTCAGTCTGATAAAAAACTAAATCTGAAACTTCTGCAATGGCCACCATTCTGTCCAAGTCCCGATCCAATCAAGAAGCTGTGGCGCTATTTGAAAACTGCAGTCCGCAATCGTCAACCAAGCAACCTGAACAACCTGGAGCAAATCTGCCAGGAAGAATGGGTGAAAATCTCTCTCAGTGAGCAAAGTTGGTAGAAATACCCAGCAGACCTACAGCTGTTCTTGCAGCAAAAGGTGGTTCTAGCAAGTACTTCTATGAAGGGGTAGAATATTTATGCTTTAAGCTGCATTTTTCAGTTTAAATTTTTTTTTAAAGATCTGCTGACAGTTTTGCAGTACAAATGATGGCTGGAACAATCTGCGTGTCGTTTGTGATGAATCGGATGATTTTGAAGGGGGTTGAATACTTTTCCAAGGCACTGTTTCTTGTTTAAATCCTATTTGATATCACGTCAAATGAACATCACTGAGCACCAACTTGCTTTGTCTTCAGTAGTGGGTCCTAGTCATATGTCCAATTTATTTAAAAGGTAAAAATGTTAATAGTAAAATACTTAAAAGTTTTAATATGATACAACATATTTACAAGCGATACCAACAGAAATGCACCAAAATTACTTGGAATAAAATCTCCTTATATTACCTTACATTAAAAGTAAAGAATGTTTTTGCCTTCTCCTGTTACCAACTTACCAATTTGGAGATACTTGTTTTTATTTTTTTAGACAGCGATGAAATTCATTTATACATGTTTCCCAATTAAACAGCAACTTATGCTGAAATAATCATGTACTTTCTCAACCAGTAATAGCTCCTTTTTAGGCTTAATAATTATGTTGATTTGCTTAGTCGTAATAGTCATTATTTTGAACTAATGAATCACAATTTAAACCAGCATCAGAAGTATTCAGAACATTTTGTCCTGTTTGTAACTGGTAGTAAAAGGGTTTCATAGAAAAGCACATACACCAATTGTGATTATATTGCACTGGTCATTTGTTAATTATGCAGCTACTATTACTTGAAAATGAAATCAAAGATAAAAGCAAATAGTATATATATTTATGCAGACTGTCATTTCAACATTTCAATGTTATCACTTACCTGAAGATGCACAGAATCACTATGGCAGTGGTGAGAGAGATGAGAGAAACACTGTGTCCGATAGTGTAGCCAATCTTAACTGACCGGAAGAAGTTGTCCTACAAGAGATTTAAAAAACATACACATTAGCTTAATGAATGCAGATTAAATTTTTCCAGCCAGCCTGAAACCTGTCTCTCTCCTACATAAAAAATGCTAATTAATGTGTTAGGCTGCAAGTGCTTAGCGCAAACATATAAAAATGATCTCTGAAGCTTGTACTAATACTTTTTAAAGAAAGAAGAAAACCAGTTTAACCAGTATGACATCAGTGTAAATGTATATTTACAGGTCAGTTTACATATTTTTCTGAAATACAGTACGACTGGATGTTTGGAATCCTTTGCCATATTAGCAGATTTTGTTCTTTTGTATAGTCATTTGCAGAAGTCTAGGCACCCCACATATTTGTTGATTTTCTAAGTGAAAATTACATTACATTAATGTTTATTTGCAAAATGTAACATGGTGTCATATTTGTTCCCTGTAGCGGATGTGCCAACTTATTTTCATTTAGAAAATCAACAAGACGTGTAATTTGAATGGGGGTGTTTAAACACTGGTATATGACAGTGTGGACTTAAATATTACAAACTGTAGCCAAAAGGTATTTTTACATATTTTATTCAATATTTAAAGAATTCTGTGAACAAGTACTGAATAAAATGATACATAATATACTGTAATGATCTAGTTACATAATTTCAAATCTGCCTTGATACCCAATTTTCTCCCCAATTTACTCATCTCCAATTCCACCCACTAGTTAGGACTCCCCCAGTCACACAATACTATCAACGCTAGGAGGGTGAAGGCTAGCACAGGCTTCCTCCGAGACCTGTGATGCGCCACCACATCTTTTCAAACTGCTGCTCACGCAATGTCATTGGACAGCCGAATGCGCTCGGAAGAAAGCGCCAACCGCCAGATCTGTTACATCAGCTAAGAGACGCTGCGCTGACTAGCGTTGTGCTGAGTGATGGGGGGAGAAGGGGGGGCTATCCTACCCACCCAGAGAGCGAGGCCAATTGTGCTCTCTTGAGACTCCCGGCCACAGATGGCTGTAACATCACCAGGGATCGAACTCGTGATCTCCTGATGATAGGGGCCAACACCCCACAAATTGCACAAGGGCCCCACCTCCTCCTTGTGTCAAGGATGAGAGGATGAATTGGAACTATCCATCTGGTCATGAAAAAAAGAAAAAAAAAAACACCATGAAAGTGAATTGCAGGAACAGCAGTCAGGTAAAGTTGTGCTCTCTCCTCTCCAAGTTTGATGTAAGCAAATGACAAAAAAGTGAGAGTGAAACAGTGTTTACAAACTGCAGCAGAGAAGATAACAGCATCATGTGTAAACGTGTTTATATGTGCGTACATGAAATGAAACTCATGCTTTGCACCAGCAGCAGCCTCTGCGGAGACCAGTCCAGTCCAGACAACGTATGGGCATGATGGCACACCCCTCATAGGCGCACATCATTTTAAAACAAGGCAATAATTATTTAGTCTCTCAGTCAGGGTTTAGTTACAACACTAAACTAATGCAAAATGGAAAGCAATACATCGACATTGACTATTAAATAAATACTGAATTTAAAATGTTGATTAGCTGGACATACTGACCCATCCATATCTCTCAGTACATAACCATGAAGTATTAAAGTATTTTATATCTGAAAATGTATAAAAGGAAATCTAGGGGAGCCAGTTTGAAATTGGACTGATGCTGACTAAATTAATAATAGTATTATCTATAATTTACCTCATTCTGTTGGGTATAGGTTTACTTCTGCTTACACCAATAGATTAACAAAAGTGTTTTAAAGTAGGGAGGACTGTAGTGGGAGCACTGGGATGTCAGATGTGACTGTGTGGCAGCTGCAGATGGTTTATATGCCTCACGGGTCAGGAAGGAGGGCCCCTTTACAGAATTTTGCTTAGGGCCCCAGAGAGGTCAGGACTGGCTCCACCTGATGTGACAATAACAAAATCAGCTTTATTAGAAACGAAAGATGTGTCAATCAAATTCATCATCACTGACCGACCACTACACAACATAATATGCCAGACTAGTACTACCATTAATAAGTGTCTGGATGGCCTACATTTACACTGCATACGGCTTATAGGTGTAAACTCACCCATAATGCAGAATATAGGTCCAAAAAAGGAATAACTGCATGAATGTCATTACGAGTTTCATATCATGACTCAGGACAGACGCAGTCTCTCACTATTTTTTAATGCTTACAAGTAAGTCAACAGACAGGCAGGTTCAACTAATTAAAAAGCTATGCTTTCAGTTCTGTTCACGTAATAAGTGACTAATCCCCTCTTTCATTCCAATTATTGTGGGCCTTCAGCGAAGGCCTTGAAGGCCCTGAACATTCACCACTGAGGGGAAAGACGTCATTCTGCTGAAGACAGGAAAATGCATCTTGTATAAAACTAACAAAGAGGAATGTTTGAAAAGTGCTGCATATGAGCTTGGAATTTTTCTGCTGTGATTTTTAATAAACTCAATACAGTCACTTCCACTGGAAATGGCAGGGTCAGACCACATTCACCTGTTATACAAAAATATCTCCGTTTTTTTCTAAAGCCTGCATGCCACCATAGTATTCATCCATCACTCAATGCCTGCGTAGGCCTTTGAGCAGATCTACATCTAAACAGACACATTTCTCACTCAAGGCCGTTTTTTCTGCTTTAAAGAATAAATTCAGCATTGTTTCACCCATGTCCAGAACCAAAGAATGATTCACCACTTCTATGGTCTTCAGCCTAACATTGGACAGATTCTTCCAATCCCACTGTCTGTGACGTGGACTGAGGTCAAAACGCCTAAACAGCAACCTTGAGAGGTGTCAGGAGCTAGCGTAGCTTAGCCTCTGGTCGAAGCCCTCTCCCACAAAGCCCCGGTGGACATGGCTACCTCGAGTATTCACTTGCTTTCCAGTAATTCAAAGCTGAGAGTGAGAAGGTGGGGTGTATGGCCTCTGAAAAGAATATTCGATTTACTACAGCTAAACGCAGGTAAACGTAAAAATAAAAGTGCCAAAAGGGTTCTTTGAAGCAAGGCCAAAAAAGGACAACTTAGTGTCCTTACCTTTCCACTGATGGCTCTTTAAAGAACCATTTTTGTAAACTGGACTTGTGAGTGCGAAGAACCATTATAAAGTTTAAATAGCATCCACATAACACAAAGGTTCTATATCACTTAAAAAGTTAAAAAAAAAAAAAAAACTCCTGGGGAAGTCTCAGATATTAAATACTGTTATTGTGTTGAAACAGTCTTAGGTTCAAGACCTGTCCCTCCATCTAGTTATGGTTGTTAAGATCTGCAAAGACGCAGAAAAATTCTCATGAAATGGCTTGCTAGAACTTCCAATTTCCAATCCAATTTAATTAGAGCTCTGTGTAGTCAAGACATAGAATAAGTAACGCAAACATCAAATCGAATCAAACCGAATCTTTACCTCAGAATCTTAGTTACAGCAACAATTTTAAGAGGCTAAAAATTATGTGTCAAAAGTGACATTAAAGGGCTCCTGAGTGGCGCAACCGTCTAAGCGTTGGCCCTATCATCAGGAGATCGCGAGTTCGATCCCTGGTGATGCTACAGCCTTCCGTAGCCGGGAGTCCAAGAGAGCACAACTGGCCTCGCTCTCTCTGGGTGGGTAGGATGGCCCCTCCTTCTCCCCCCATCACTTAACGCGATGCTAGTCAGCGCTGGCGTCTGTTAGTTGACGTAACAGATGTGGCGGTTGGCACTTTCCTCCGAGCGCATTCAGCTGTCCAATGACGTTGCGTGAGCGGCAGATCGAAAAGAAGCGATGGCTGGCACAGGTCTCGGAGGAAGCCTGCGTTAGCCTAGTTGGCTAGCATTAGCTAAGCTAACATGACAAAGTCCTTATAGGAAAGTCTGTTCACTTGGTGGCCATCTTGGCAATGCCGCCAGGCAGTTATTTCAAGTCATACAAGACCAAGCTCCTATCTATTTGAATGTGGACAAACCATAAAACTCAAATTACCATTTCAAAATGATGTTTGAAATCACTGATTAAATATAGAAAAACCTCATAAATAGTTTGTAACGTTTGGCAATCAAATAATTTTTTTCAGGTTGTTCTGGCTACTGCACTGCAGAGGGGCTTTTCCCGCTAGTTGCTTAACCAGCAGGCTGACTGGCTCTTATTAAAGGGTGGGACTTTCTATGCAAAAACATGCCGAGTTTAGCATTACAAGTTTTCCCATTTATATTTCATCTAGTGACCTGTCTTGTCCTTTATAACATCTCTAGCTGCTGTCAATGCTTAGTTTTTCTGAAGTTTGTCCTGGCTCTGATTTTTCCCCTCTTTCTATCAGTGCCACCTATCGGTGAGCCCCCACACCACCAATTAGTGACACCTAAATTATAAATGGGTGGAATGTGTTTATTTGGCCATTCAGACGTGAAATTTACCGTGTCATAATTTTGAAATAGCATCTTCATTTTAAATCCTGGGCATCATGTTTAATACCAAAATATTTCTTATTACCATTATACTGCCCAACCCTATCTCCAACTTTTGGACCCCGCTGTAATTTAACAGCTTTGCATCTTTACTACTCAAGGCCTATGTGCCTGTTAATGTCCCTACTGATATACACTGTATAATGCATTTATAAAAAAAAAAAAACTTTGCAAGGAAATAACAATATTGTCAAGACATAAGTGCATTCAGCCTGAAGTGGTCATTGGTAACTATTTCATTACACAGGAGAATGACTCTCTGCAGACTGAGAGAGTTTATCACTGAGTCCTAGGCAATCAACCTTATTCTGGGAATGTTTTAATGTCAAGTGCTGAATATAAAGGAGGTATTATACATGTGTCACACTGCTGTGAGTGCTGGGAGAGCAAGAGGCAGCCCAAGAGCACCAGATGACACCCTGAGCTGCTGAGGTGACATGCAGTCAGGTGCTGTGAAGAAAAAAAAAAGCTTATTTTCAAGCCATGTGGGCTCCCAGCACAATATATCAACCTTCAGGTGCAACAGCTTAATTTTATTTCAAGGAGCTCTTCAATATTTTGTAAAGGAAAAAAAAGTCTGACACATGAGTGTACAGTATTCACACAGATGAAGTATTCTTAAACCTAGAAAGACAAAAGTCCTTTAGATGTTCAGACTTACATCATCACCGGTGCCGTTGAGATTATATCCACAATTCACAGCAATTGTTATGGGGTGCACTTCGGTCCAGCCGTCTGCTGTGCAGGTCTTGGACAGGTTCCCTGAGTGACAGAGTGGAGGTTATAAATGACTCTGTTCCCACACACATACACACACTCACAAACAGACATACAAACCCACAAACACATGTCTGCAGCTCTGTCTGGAAGTTACTGTGATGTATCTGTTAGTTCTTTGAAAGGCTCTGAGCTGAGGGACCAGGACTGCAAGAGAGCAGTGATGAGCACAGTAATGTCCACAAGTATCCGGATAACATAACATAAACATAAGTTTTTTGGCCTCCTGTCCTCATGAAAGTGGTATTTTGGGTCACTGAAAATATTTTTTGAAATGTTTTTTGAAAAATGTTATAAAATGCTCTCTGAGGTGGAGATTTAGCTAGAAAAAGTTTTCAGTGTTTTGGTGTGAAAAAACTATTTTGAAAACACTGCTTGAAGGTGGATGAAGATTTTTTGGGGAAAATAAAACTGTACTTATAAAAAAAAAAATTATCCGGATATGTATGGACAGGGCGCAAGATCCTACCTTAGCCCCCAGCCTCCAATTAGCCCTTGTCGGTTAATAACTCTGTATTCAGTCTGCATAGGTAAGGTGGTGTAAGCCAGTCCCTGGAGTCATACGACAGTCTGGACAACAGTTAAGGTTAAGGATGCACAAAATAAGCAAACCTAAGGCTGTTACATTGGAATATATTAGTAATAGAGTAATGCACCAATTGTATTGCTGATTAATTGAATAATTAGTTAATTGGTAAAAAAGACCAATAAAAAGATTAAAAATAATAAGCTAGGACGCTTTTAAAAAGATTTTATTAAAGTCTAATTTTTCAAAATTTCAGCATAGTTTGCTTGTTGAACAAAGTAACTGAGACTGTTTTGATGACAAATGCACTACTAGAGACATACTAGAGAAATGTATGCACAATAGCTATGAGAGCTACCCATAGTCCAAAGTATATAGAGACAATTATTACAGAAAATGGTTATGAAAACACTGACTGATTGATGCCTTAGAGACTGTTACTAAATATTCAATACTGTTTACAATGAAGGTGTTGTAAGAAAGACAGTACTCAAAGAAAACTGATTTTTTACTGATTTGCCAGAATTTTTGCATTATCAACATTAAATCAGTTGTTGCTTAGCAATACAGATGTCATGACTCCTGGGGCCGTATTACGGAAACTTCTTAGCTTTCATCCTAAGTTTAGATCAGACAAGCTCAAGATAAGATTTTTCACTAATACTTATTAGAGAAGTAAATCTTATTTTAAATTATGAATTATATCTTCTCAAATCTTTTCTCAAGTTAGGAAATCCTAAATTATTGGATAGGTTGTTAATTAACTGTTATGTCTGTTATCAAGCAACTGACAACACATGCACAGCTGAAACATAAACATATAGCTCTGTTGGTTATATGCGTCAAAAAAATGTCAAAACAAGACTAAAGAGCAATGAACTGCAAGTTATAAATTATAAAATAATCGTCTAGTTAGGATGCTTCTATAAATCTGTTTTCTTACCTGGAGTTCAGATAAGAGAATGAGTTTAGGAACTGCTGTTATTCTGTAACAGTTATTGTCCTAAGTTTAATCCTAATTCAAGTCATCATGGTGACTAAACAGATAGGATTTCAAAGTTAAAATGTTTCTGTAATACAGCCTCTGGTTCCTATCACTTACACTGTAATGAAATCCAAGCTGCTAAGATCACTCCTCCATTAGCAATTTATACTGAATTTTTGAAAAACTGGTGGAATTCCCCTAGAAAGGCATTATGTTTCAAAAATGCACTTAAATGGGCATCCATCATGGTCTGTCTCCAGTATCAGTAGGAGAATTTTAAATATGCATTATTATCCAGCATTGCTGACTAATTATAGCCAATTTATGGCCTCAAGGAGGTAAATTTTAATTGCAATATGATTTTAACTGATTAATCATGACAGCCCTAGACAAAAAGACCAATTGTATTTTTATATACTGTGACTGTAATATGCCTTACAGTATCCTAAAAAACACACTGTTGTTCAAAAATATGATGACATTATATGATTAAGACTTGCTTTTGGTCTTATTTATTTATTTATTTATTTACTTCAGGATCAGGATCATTTGAAAGCCTCGATTCATCCAAGCACCTCAACAGGACAGCACACAAAAATGACTGCTCAGAAAACAGTACAGCTTTCAGTGATAGCAGTTTTGCAAAGGCCTGTACTGCAATAACGATCACAAATGACAGAATGTGCAGCCCTGTTTAAGAAAGTCTTAACTAGACCACTAGATCCACTTTAGTGCTGTTCTGGCCAGTGTGCTCTACCAAGCTTGACATTAGACAACAGTACGTTAAGGAGGCACTGTGACATTTCCAGGGCCGCCTGTGGCAAAACATTCTGCACTTGAGAAGAACTCCAATGTAAAAGACACCAATGTACAAGAATCGTGGTTGGCTTTCTTTTATCCTCCAGGCTGCTTCTGTCCTTACAATTCCTCAGTACTTCCTCCATAATATGAAATCACATAACAGCTATAAGGGCAGCTTGAATTCAGGTTAAATCTAGGATGTTGCTGCATGATTCATATTAAAAAGCCTTCACTGTCCCACCACTGAACTCAGCTGTTCTGGTTTCTCCTCTTCTGAGATCAATGCAGAAAAAAAAAAGTGTAATACCACATCTAGGCACTTTTGTTGGTGTATTGATCGAACGATTTAGCTCAAGAGGAGGCCAAAAAGCTCTGTAAAAAAGGGTCTTGTAAGATCCTGTTCCTACAGACAGAACCACATGGTGTTTACCAGACTGGTCTAGCAATGTTTAAAGTAAGTCAGGAAAATGTCAGTAGAAATTACAACCCCAGTTCCAGTTGGCACAGCATGTGGAATGCTGATAAAAACAGAAAGCAGTCAGTACATTTTTTTTGACCTGTATCGAATTAAAACAATACAAAAAACAGAATTTTTGATGTTTTACTATATGAACTTCATTGTTTTTCATAAATATATGCTCATTCCAAATATGATGCCTACAACACATTCCAAAAAGGTCAGTATAGCATATGCACTCTTTGATTACACAGCATTGCTGTTGGAACACATGCAGAATGCGGCTTTGTGTTGTGATGCTGTGATGTGTCTTGAAGGAAGCACATGTTGCTCCAAAATGTGTTCAGCGTTAATGGTATTTTCACATATGTGCACATGACCCACTAATATCCTCTCATACCATGACAGATGCTGGCTTTTGAACTTCACGCTAGTAACAGTCTGGTGGGTAGCGCTGTCGCCTCACAGCAAGAAGGGCCTGGGTTCGATTCCCGGCTGGGTGAACAGGGTCGTTTCTGAGTGGAGTTTGCATGTTCTCCCCGTGTCTGCGTGGGTTTCCTCCGGGTACTCCGGTTTCCTCCCACAGTCCAAAAACATGCAGTCAGGCCAATTGGACGTGCTAAACTGCCCCTAGGTGCGAGTGAGTGTGTGAATGTGTATGTCTGTCTGTCTGTCTGCCCTGCGATGGACTGGCGACCTGTCCAGGGTGTATCCTGCCTTCCGCCCAATGACAGCTGGGATAGGCTCCAGCACCCCACCGTGACCCAGAAGGATAAGCGGTTTAGATGATGGATGGATGGATGGATGGTCTTAAACTGTCCCTGTCTCAACTTTGTTGGAATGTGTTGCAGGCATCAATTTCAGAATGAGCATATATATTTTCAAAAAACAATTAAGTTCATAAAGTAAAACATTAAGTATAATGTCTTTATAGTGTTTTTGTTCAAATACAGGTCAAAACAGTTTCTACATGGCCTTTATCAGATCTACAGCATGATACCTTATATCCAGCACAATCAAGCTGTTCAACTGCATTTAGGCTTGCTTTCAAAAACAGTATTGATAACACACAGAGGTCAATTTCTCACTCATGGAACAAATAAAGCTAATTGTGTTTTGCCTCACGGTTCCTCACTGAAATAAAGACCTTTAGAGGGAAAGTGAGGAAAAGTGACTCTCCACGCAGGTCTGATAGGCTCTATACTCTTCAAAAAAGGTTCCTGAATGGCTGCTGGCTTGGGTATGAAGCTAGGCGATATGAAAGAATGTAATATCACAATACTTCGGGAAGTTTTTTACGATACACAATGTGTCGCAGTATTAATTTTTTCTGACATCTGTTAAGTTAGAACAGACAAAGTACTGCCATGTTTTAAAAATACTATCAAAAACGATGAATCCAATTAACATTTCACACACTGTGCTGCACTATATCCAATTAAACAGGACTCTTTGTAATCAAACATGCAGCTGGGAAGTGATTTTTAAGTACTGACAATGTCCATGATATGATCAGAAAAGCATATTATGATGTAATTTATCAAGATAACGATAAATACAGTCATACTGGCCAGCTCTACTTGGATATAGGAAAAATTATCATGAAAAACTGACTGTTCCCTTTTCTGTTCCTAAAACATTTACCTAATTTTAGAGGCATTGTCTTTGCGATGTCATAAAACCCAATGCATTTACATTTATCTGCCTTTCAGCTTCTTGTGGTTAAGCCCTGCCCATTCATTTTTAAGTTATAGACCTCTGTCGTGTTATTCTGTAGTTTGACCTGGAATACCTAACCATATTGAGCATGTTTCAATGTTGGGAAAAATGAATGCCGTTTTTATCGCTGCACCCTGTGGTAAACAAAAATGTTCCACAGATGATGCGTTTTGCCATATGTGCATTTATCTCCAAATGTCGCTGGATCCTCTGAATTATGAGGTTGTTAATGAGTCAAAATCCAAACGTTTCTACATGCAAGCTAACACTGTGGCTGAACTGACATTATAGGACTGGAAATCTCACCAAAATACCCCATATAAATCAACAAGCTTTGCTAAATATGGTCGTTAAGTTGCTTTGGCAGTTTTAGGCTGCAATTTTAGTAACTACTCTTGTTATATAACCGTGTTGAAGTTTAATAGCAGACTTACTTTCATGTGATGTCATTTCAGTGTGCAGGAGTGTTAACTTGTTTGCAGCAATATTTATATGTT